TCTCTCTCTCTCTCTCTCTCTCTCTCTCCCTCTTCACTACAGTCACCTGTAAGAGCTTAGGTACGAGCCGTATGAACGATGTGTGCAGGAAAGACAGAGTCAGACACATCATTCTCATCACAACAGATAGAACCAGAAGGTTCGATTAACAACTTTTGAAAGTTGAAAAGAAATTGTGAATCAGTCGTTACAGAGAACATATTCTTCGATCTTTGATGCAGTCTTCTTATACAACCCGCAAAGCATCTGCCAAATGACTTAATTCAATATTGATATAAAAGAGGTAAGCACGTTTGACTTTAGAATAGGTTCTTAGCACGGCGTTAACTTGACCTTGTAATTTTGGCCTTCACCGTTTTGAGCTCGTTTATTACCTCTAAGTTTCCATAGAGGAGAGAAGATTACGTTTTCTCCAGCTCCAGGATGTGATGAGTTGACATTGCAAGTGTGTTAATTGAAACTACAATAAATACTAGTAAATAACTCTTACTCGAATGAAATGAATACTATCGATTGAGGCGAAGTGGCGCAGTCTGTGACATATAAATGCATCGCTAGTGTCTCAAAACCAATCGAGCAAGCTCACAGGTCGCCTTGGTTTCAATGCCTGTAGCCTTCGTGTCGCCACGAAGTTTAGACTATTGATTGTACAAATGAGCAGTTCATACAGTGACTCAAACGGTCGCCCAAAAAATAAAAGATATAAAGTAGACACAAGGTAAAATCGTATATCAAAACGACTTCTGGTATCATCAAAATGGATAGGGGTCAAAACTTCAATCTGATTTGCACAGGCTTTTCAAACACACAATCAGTATATGTAGTTGACTAGCTTCAAGTATGGCCATGGAATTCTGATTTGCATTCATTATCACCAAGCAGTCTGGAATATCGTTTGTAGCAATTCCTTCAAAGCATTTTTTTCATTTTTTTAATAACACGGCACCTTGCGAATATGTTGTGTTGTATCTAAAGCTTGAGTGATAAGTTTTCAAAGTGTTGAAAATGCGCTTGTACTTGGAAAACAGCTTTGGGTCGGTCCGTTTTCAAAAAAAACAGTTGATGAGCAAGATGCTATGTTAGCAAACGTTGGTGACTTGAGAATCTTCGAGATGAGATTGGAACCAGTGAATTGCAAGGGTTGTTCTCTGGTGATGGATGCAGGCACGAGCAGCGATTGCATCTGTGATGGAGATCAAGCCACAGTCTGCAACCCTTTCAGACACAGGCATGACTGTACCAGTTGAGGATGTGAAGGTCGGGGAGCATCTGGACATCAAGCCTGGTATGTTTCTCAGCAAGCTGTTAAACAGTTCATGCCCTGAAACCATTAGCCCTCTTTTTCTGCTTTTTCTTTTCTGTTTTCTAGAAAGGAAAGGAGCCCCTAACATGTGGCCACCCATTTCCATCAAACTGGAACTTACGTTCTGTTTGATGACAGGTACATCTATGTACCATTCAGCCACATGGGCTGCTCACCCTCTAATTTCACCTTCTCTGTACTTCCTGCCCCCAACACAGACCTGCGGGTAGCTCCATTTGTGCACTCTGATTTTTTTTAGATGACTCTTCAACCAGTTGGAAGAGTTCCCTCCTCCGAAACTTTAGGCCGTATACAAGCGGGCCATAATTTCAATATACTGGCCTGGCATGCAGCAGCAGCAGCAGCCGCGCTTTCAATATACTGGCGTGGTATGGACAGACTCGGTACTTTAGGGCCAGCTGCACAGACTCTTTAATCCCTGCTTCATTTACGCAACAGTTATGTTCTGGAGCATGCTAAGGGAACAAAGGCCAAATCGGTACTGAATTTGTTTTTTTCTTAACACTGCCCGGGGTGCTGTTGGGGGTGATACGAGCACCATCATATATTTCACAGTGACCTTGCCATTGGGTCACTTTCTTTTTCTGTGTGTGTGTGTGTGTGTGTGTGTGTGTGTGTGTGTGTGTGTGTGTGTGTGTGTGTGTTTGTTTTATAAGCTTCCCCCACAACAACCCCTATTCCAACCAGATGAGTAGAACCGGACTGAGTCCGCCCAACACTTTAAAAAAAAGTTCTCTTTAACAGGCAGCACGAATCATAATAGAACCAATTTGAACCGTGTTTAGCTAGGGTTTCTTTGGGGCAACAGCTCCTCTTTCACTTTGCCTCGCACGTACAAGGCTGCCCACATGATGGTGGTTGTGCGGCAGCTGCCCACATCCCCGTGTGCCCACTTGCACGTTATAATAAGAGGCAGAGTAAAGGGGAAGGTATGCTCCTGTGCACTTCACTTCAGATCTTCATACTCCTGTTCATTTCACTTCAGATCTCCAGCTCACTTCAGATCTCCAGCTGTTCATTTCACTTCAGATCTTCAGCATATGCTTAGTCTTTGTGTCTGTCGTTCGTCTGCATACTCCTGTTCATTTCTCTTCAAATCTTGGACTTATACTTTGTCTGTACTCTTACTGATGCTCATTCGTATGTATTTCCTAGTTGCACATAAGGAGAGGGCGGAGGGAAAGGGACAGGAGGTAAGTTTGTCAGGACGTGAGGTAGGGGGAAAGCAGAGTGCAAGGGTAGGGCAGGCGAGAGGTATATGATGGGCTTCGCAGAATTCTAAACACTCACCGCTGGAATAGCACATGAGGTTCGTTGGTGTTTGGGTTGCACAAGATTTTGAGTCAAGGAGCTGTTATTGCCTATGGTAAGTGGGTGTTATTGCCTACGGTAAGTACCATCCCTACAGACCGGACAGGACCGGTTCGGGTGTGGACTGTGGAAGCACCGCATCCAGTTTTTGCAGTCACAGTTGCTGCATCGAATGGCACGGCGCAGACAGATGTCACAGGCAACGTGGCTCCTACATGCTAGGAACACGGAGGCACGTCGACCACAATTATAGAGGCACTGCCGTTCTAGCCCCTGTCTACAAATTGGACATGACATGTCAGGGTGCCGTACATGAGTACAGTGCTGACTGTCGTCGTAGGTATGAAAGCAGAAACTCGCATGGACTATTCCTTCATAATCCTCACGGCACAAAGCATGTGAACCACACGCTAGTTGAATCTTCGGCGGGTCATCACATAGCGGCATAGAGCATGTTTCTTGGGTTTCCTCAGTATTTATTGAATTTTATTCCTTCTGTATGGGCAGACGACGACAGGGAGGGTCGGTCCAAAGCAAGGGCGTTCAGCTGCTGCAGGATTTGGTCCACAACAGCTCGCCTTGATGGTGATAAGCGATCAGTACCCCGCTCTGAAGCTGGTTCATATAGAGGCCCATTTTCCTCCTCGGGCTCCTGTGTGTGTCGCACGTCTGGCAAGGAAGAGGAAGAACCCTCTGCGGTTGCCGTAGGTGTATGACCAACACCGCATGTGGGACATGCTAGGAGAGGATGTGGTGGGTGATGGCACCGGGGATAGTCCACGCAGTAAAGACACATACTTTCTATGACTGCTTCCTGGAAGCATTGACGACACATGGCATGTTGCTGACATGTCATCAGTATGGAAGAATGATGTGCACAGTTATTTAAGCATGGCAGATCAAGGCCACAACTGCACGCTGGGCAAGTAATCAGGGGGTGGGGGGGATGAGCACAAGACAAGGGATCACAATTTTCGTGGGAGAGGCTAGCAGCGACCATCCCTTCATAATGTTCGGAGCAGAGGCTATGCCGTGTACACGCCAACCGAACTGTACCTGTGCCACTGCACAATGGGAGGGCACAGCCACTATCCTCTGGAGAGGTCCGTTCATTGTTTGTGGTAGGACCAGCCAGATTGTGTGTGTGTGTGTGTGTGTGTGTGTGTGTGTGTGTGTGTGTGTGTGTGTGAGAGAGAGAGAGAGAGAGAGAGAGAGAGAGAGAGAGAG